GAAATTAATCTACAATTCATTTGTTCTGAAAGTTTCTCAGCTAAACGCCCAGCGGTAGTTGATATCCGCCATGATTCAATTGCTGTGTCTTCATTTAGATATTACGATGGAATCAAAAGAGGTTATTCAGTACACTAGAAACTGACTACACGTTACCATAATCCTATTGTAAAATAATGGCATTTTAATACTCATGTTTTGCTTCAAACACCGACAGCCCACAAAATAAATCTTATTTATTTCTTCTCCAGTTTTATAAAATATATCGAATTCTTTTGGTTACAAAAACTTTTTCTCCTAAAAATTAACTGTAGACAGGCCTGTTTTTATATTTAATGCTTGCAACTTCTTTGTTTAAAAATCTATTTATATCTGAGACAATTTCGTCGTAAACCCAACTCAGTGTTGCTGAAGCAGTTACAACAGTGCCCCTTTTCACGTTCAACCTCCCTCAGACTATCGAAGATTGCTGATAACACAGAAGAAAAAGTCAAGAACCGCTTGGTCTCTGGGGTCTGGAAGTGAATAGAGAATGCGGGCTTACAGGTGGGTGTGGCCCATGTTTTGAAGCTGTAATGACACGGACGTCTTTTGAAAGGGCATAAAAAATGAAAACCAACCCGGTTTCTGATCAGAAGTCGTCTTCTCAAAGGAGAATGAGGATCTAATACGGCTTATTTCAAAGTCACTTTATCCATCGTTTGAGAAACATAACATGCTCACTGCGTAGTGGCTATCCATTCATATCTGAATAATTTTATTAAATGTATAATTATTTTTTAAAGTACTGGGCTCTAAGACACTTCAGTTTAGAAAAAAAAACTTTCGGTATGCATGAAATTGTTTGCGTACTTATTTTTATGAAACTTTGTTATAAGAAGATTCCGAAATACATAAAAAGAGAGTATTTTACTGCTGTAGTTACACTTCATTTAAAAAGCTATTAGAAGTTCAGAAATAAACTATGCTTGAAACCAAGTCTTTCTTAGCCCGCATTTAGTCGATTACATTGACCGCGAGGTCTAAAAAATGGGTCTCGCCCACCCGAACAATAATATCGTGAGATCTATTACCAGTCACAGAATTTTCCTGTGATACATTGTCCTCTGTAGGCTATGTATATAGCTTTAAAAAAAAACAGGCGAAATATTTCTCTGGAAAATCCAAAGTTAAATAGGAGCTCTGCCCCATGCGGTAGTTAGCCCGTGGTTTCCTCACTGCGACATAAAAAGACGTCATAAATAGATACACCATTCTATCCACCGCCAGACTGGGTCCACAGCAACCAACTACAGTTTGTTTAAATGGACAGCACATCAAATAGGCGCATGAAAGAGAGGATGGGATGTTCGAAACCATCTCATTGAATTTCTGATTAATTTCTCTCTTAAATGTGTGCTAAGACCTATCTTGAACATTTTATTACTTATACAACAAGAAGTCTGTAAATCCGAAAATTTACGTAGATTCCACGAAATACAGATCTGCGCAACGCTTGGTATAAAGAACTTGCAACAATTTTTAGATGTTTCTGTCAAAAATACTTCTACACAATTTACTCGTTCCAGAACAACGAGTGTACTTTGAATCCCTCACAACTCTCATTAAAACGGCCGATAGCTTTCTGATATTTTCAGTAATTAGATTTACATTTCGCCATTACGTGTTCATTAAAAATAACGGACCATATTTCAGATCATAATAATAGCGCATTATCCTACACGTTGTATTGCATTTCAGACTTTTAATGTATCATGCCTACTGTATCAAGTATCAGACACTGTACAAATTAGATTTAGAATCTCCATGTGGATAAAAGTTTTCCACGAACTTAACCTACTGAACATGTCCAGAATATCTGATAACAGTTCATAAAGACGAAATAAAATAACTAGCCTACTCCCCCAAATGTGACGTAATTTACGTCCTGTAGTTCAAAAAAGAAAAAATTGAACACAAAACTAGACATGAAGGCCAATAATTCTACAAAAATGGACTGTTTGGTAGGAGGTTCAAATTTTCAGCTATCATACATTTGTTTTAAACTTTTAATTACATTTATTTAAATTATCTTTACTTAACTTGTAGTAAAATCTCGGAACTGATGACAATTATTTCGAAAGACAGATACTTCTACCTAAAAGGCTATACGGTGACACAACTCAGAAAACCAGAATCGATAATAATTCTATGCTTCATTATAGGATTCCTGTGAGAAAGGCTCTATTCTCACTTCTAATATTCTTAGGGAGAATATTGTCTCTGCTTATATACGTGAGATCAGCGAAAGTGAACGCCTCTAAATAAAGTAGCCCGTTTTATTACCTGAGAAGTCGGACAGCGATCTCAATTACGGCGAGACGTCCCACGATGCTACTTCTGTATTATTTAAGACATTTTGTAATAAAATGTGTGTACATTTAGATTGGTATTTTTTACTAAAAGAAAGGTCGATGTTTTGTATTGCGTTTCTCGATAAATGAACGCGACGAGAAGTGAAAGACCCAAGCACAGCCTTACCGATACATACCCAAAGTCTCGAAATCCTGCGCCTTTGACAACATGACGGCCACACACTCTGGACACCGAATTAAGAAGCTCGGTTTGTCAGAAATTAATAACAGGGTTTGCCTTCTACTGAGGCGATTCAAATCAAAATGCTCTATTTTATTGACGCCAATTGTTGGATTCATTTATTCGGTAGAGAGTTATATGGACTAGTGTTGAAGCAGTTTAGAATATATTAAAGGACAATAACAAAGACTGCTATTATTATACAAGGACCCCTTGTATCGTGAAAATTAACAATTATTCTATTCGATGCAGAGAACGATTTCTTGGAACTTGGAGCGAAAGGTTTTCACAATAGACCTTCGCGTTTAACTCTTAGTGCAACACACAAACTCAGACCACGGTGATTGTCGAGATGTGACGGGCTAGTCGAGCCAATACAATTTTTTTAGGGGGAGGGGGCACAACAAAATGGTGAAAAGTGTCAGGAGCAATTTGCAAATCTATCGGTGGGCTCAGCGGGGTTCCTTGTCACCCAATCAAGCGGTCGTGCGCCGGGGTGGCAAGGACATGTCATGTGGGAGGGCTAGCTACTAGGAGCTGCCTGTCTCTCGCTCTCAAGTTGCTCTGCAGATGAGACAATTTCTTTTCCGAAATATGTAATTAAAAACTTTGATACAAGAGGCGATCCGATACAAGATGATGAACCACGAGCAGTTTATCGCTTTACTTTGTCTTTACAGAACCAGCATGATATGACAGTGCATATGGATGTTTAGGCCTAGTTCGGATTCATATCTTTGTATGTTTATGATATATAACGCTGAAAGAAATTGGACTTTCTCTCTTACTGTTCATTATGTAAAACTAATATCGTCGGGAAACGTGTCTCGATATAAGAGAGATCAAATAACATGAGGACAGAGAGAACTGCATGGCGCGCCGTTTCATAATTTATATATATATATATGGGATCAAGTTAAAGAGAATTACAGGGAGAGATCACAAATTGATACTAAACTTTGGTCGGAAAACCTGGAAGGAAGATACCTCTTGGTAGACCTAAATGCAATGGGTGGTAACTAGTGACATAATTCTGAAAGAAAGAAGGTGAGAGATCGTGGATTAGATTAATCTGGTACAAAACAGTGGCCAGAGACGGCTCATGTGAACACGCTAATGAACCTTCGTGTTTCATAAAAGGCAGGGAATTTCTTGACTTAACTGAGCGTATTGTAAGCTTCTCAAGAAAAATTCTGTTTCATGATAAGAGTGCGTATGCCGGAATCCGCGAAAAGCTTCCGCTGACTGGGCTAGCCAATATTACTCTAAATTAACATGCCTTATTACACTTCGAGTCCCTGGCAGTGGCAACTGAAAAATAATGTAGGCTACACAAAAGTATTAACACGCAAACATCCCAAATTTCCCATATCTTAATTAATTTCTCTTCTACATATAGACGGCTTGTTGTAATGTATCTGTATTCCCATTTCAAAGTTAAGCTACGCCATGACGCTCTCACGACATCTGAGGTAATAACTAGATCCAAAGTTATTCCCGGCAACGTCTTGAAAGATTTCGTACTGTACGACTTTAAACAGAAAAAAATTCAATTTCGTCTGAACTAGAAATAATATGTGGTTACCAGGTGCAATGAAACTAATTTATTTTAAACTGAACACCGTACTTCGCATTCAATATTGAGTTCTGTATAGTAAAAATCATGTTCAAATACATTTTGTATCTACGTGTTCAAGACTCCAGCTTTTGAGTTCAATCCATGGAGGTTCGATCAGGAAAGAAGGAGTCGCTAGCAACTCTGACATCTCTTCCAGCAAAAGGTTTTATGCGAAAGAAAAGACGAACAAAGTCGTAGAGTTCCTAAATCAGTGCTTCAAAAAGAGGTTGAAAGGTGTTAATTATGGTACAGGTCGTAGCTTTAACTTCGTAAATTAGCACCCGCTAACATCACAGCCTCTTTTATAGTAGTTACAATAACCAACGCAGTCATCGTTGATCTGAAGTTGCTGACTCGACAATACAGATTTCCTTGTGATCCCCAGAATTAGTGACAGTGGGGTGGGTTTCATATGGACACACCTTTTGTGTAACAAACGTCTTCTTAAAACCATACCTTTTATTACCAAATACAAATAACCGTATAATTAAAAAAACAGGTATTAGTTTCACAGGGACCACGTATCCCCGATATCTCAAGAGAATCTCAAACTGTTATCGTCTATATTTTGTTCACTTTTCATGCTTACTTCGCACTTTTATAAAGTTCTAAGTCAGGTAGCCAGACTAAAATACATTGTCTTCCAAACACAATATTTTCAAATCAAAAATTTTCCTTACTGGAAAGTTACAAACATTACATTCATCTGAGAAATTCTTGAAATATACCAAGTTCGATTTTTTTTGTGTCCTTAGAACTTCCCGACATACATGATGATATCATGCAGTATGAAATCAAATTAACTTACTGGGCACAGCATGAAGGTAACTCACTTCGTCCTCTCAGAACGAGCAGCCACTCCAGTAACATCTAGAGTCAGCATACCTGCAAAATAACAAATATGTGTTACGTGGTTTATCCTTCCTACTGCCATGACAACAGTATATAAGTAGATAAGCATTATTGAAATCACTTGACAAGGAAGAATTTTCCTTCCCTCACGACTTTGTAATTCGGTCAAAGCAACTTTTGAGAGTATACCAGAAATTCGTTATTTAAATACATCGTACTCTAGAAAGCAGACCACGCGCAATGGGACGTACATTGGCGTTTACATTCCGAGGAATTTCGTATCAGAAGTGCGGAGTAGCACCTTTCTTGTTAAAATGTCATTGTTTGCCAGAAAAATAGCTGTTCATTGCGCACCCAATAAGGAACAATACGGACGCCAGTAATAGGATGACTTGCGCAAATATCTTAGGCTTACAAGTCATAACTCATATGTAAGCAGCCAAGAAAATAAACATCCTGTGCTGTAACAAGTAGGCAGCTGTTGCACTGAATCACAGCGAGCACCATGCCGCGTTCCACAACCATAAAAAAATGTGTTTGATCATCATCATCATCATCATCATCATTAACCACACTACCATAACCTTGTCGCCATCGAATCATAGGTTATAACTGCTAGAACTCTCGTTAATGTATTGTACTTAGTTAAACAATTTTAGAATAATGTAAATTAATTACAGAATAATGTTGACGGAGTTGTAATGAACACGGGAACTTCTGACAAAATAAAAAAGTTCATTTAGTCCCATAAGTACATCGGCCCTTGAAATAAACCGAACTAAATGAAAATTAAAATGACTCGACGACATTTTGTGCTAAGTTTGCCGTACAAAGTTTGAACGACATCGGTTAAGTAATTTAAATCATATTACTAGAGGACACACAGGCAAGACAAAACACGGTTTACGAGACTGGACTAAAACACAGTTGTGGCTTTGTAAAGGTTAGCGTCGGTCCTTCGTATTGCGAAACTCCCAATTTCAAATTCTGGCTTGGAAACAGCCTATCCTAAGTTAAGATTCCTTGTAATTTTCCCCAGTTCTGCAGACAAAAGCAAGGACGTTGCCTTACAAGGACCACGACCACTTCCTTCCTAATCCTTCATTCATAATTGATCTGTGTTAGTCTATAATATATAACCCATACAGCTAATAAAGCTTTGTTATATATATATATACACATACACACACATCTAATCTAACTCTATGAGGCAAAGTCCTCACATACACACACATCTAATCTAACTCTGAGGCAAAGTCCAGCTTTAACAGCTGACAGTGGCTCAGCTGTCATTTATTGAACCCTTAATTACATTACCGTGATCACACAGCCATTGATCCCTATCCTGAGCCACTTAAATGCAGTCTACAAGGTAAAGCCCTACTTATTTACGGTCCGTTTACATCCTGTCCTTCCATCCATGCCTTGGTCTCCCAAATAAGTTCTTCTCTTCAGGGTTTCCAATTATAATTGTGTATGCTTTTGTCATCTCTCCCATACGTGTTACATGTCCAACTAATCCTTCTTGATTTGATCATATTCATGATATTTGGAGAAGAGTAGAGCTTATGGACGTCGTCATTACGCAGTTATCTCTAGCCCAGACATACAAAAAGAAATACTAGGATGGAAAGTTACAAGAGGCTTCTACAAGTTGGCCTAGGGCCATAGATACTTCATTAGTGATATTTATTTTGATAACGATACAATATTAATAGCACTTGGTTGGATATTCTTGAAGCGTAACGCTACGGTAACCACAGTCCAATAACCATATTATGTTATGCTAAGGTCCACTTGAAGCAACTTGTTAATTATATCACGAAGACAGGTGACAGGGGCGTGAAAATAAGTTTCCGGTGTTCACGTCAATTTTGAATTCAGAGAAATAATAATAAAAAATTATTCTTCCTTATTTTGTATAAGTGGGGCAGGTTTTAAAAAAACCCAGATACGATGATTGGCCAGTCAGGTGTAATTACTTGTGACGTTTCGTCAAGCCCTAGCGCTGCTGATAGGATAATGACCCGTACTGGCATGGCAGTTACGGTGTGTCAGTTGTGAAGTGATGATTAAGGTGGGTGATGAGGAATGAAAAACTACGGTGGGAGGAGTTAGCTACCAGTTTTGTTTCTCCTCACGCTGCCTGTACAGGCAAATACATAAGAACAGCAGCAAAAATCCCGGCCTCCTTGCCTAATGGTTCTCCAAGCTACTGTAGGAATCGATTGTCCATCATTCACTGTTTTAATTCAAATTCATATTTCACGAGACACAGCGTAGCTTCCTGAATTAATACAGTTCAGTAAAACAGTCGACGAAGGTTTGATATAAATTGTGCAAATAAAGTTTTTGAAAGGCGTTTCGTGTAACTATACTACAAAATGAAAGTACAATAATTTAGCTCCATACAGACACGTTTTATCGTTCGAAGAAAACACCCCTACATTCAGTCAGCTCAAAATGGATTACGTCCCACGTTTGTAAAATATTCCTGAATATAGCAACAAACAAATAGTTTGGATTAAACCGGGTCTAGTCAAAGCTCGTTTCAATTTCTCTGAACAAACAAATAGTTTGGATTAAACCGGATCTAGTCAAAGCTCGCTTCAATTTCTCTACCTAACATATCCTCATTTTCACATCGGCGCTTTCCCAATATATTTTCCAATATTTAAATCTATTATGTTATCGAATTTAACGTATTAAACGTTGTCGATATTTTAAGCTATAAAACTTATAGCAAAAGAAGATAATTTGCAATAAGTACATTTCAGATACAGACTGCTCTAGGACGTAGTAAGATTTGAGTTTAAAAAATTAAAAATATCCTATTACATTGAGTAATATTAGTATTGTTACCACACGAAAATGCATCAGAACAACGTCATATGTAACGATATTACTTATATGTCTCCGCTAAATATTGAAATACGGGTTTGAAAATTCTGAAGCAGACATGAACAGTGTGGTAACCAGCTTCTGAATCTGTTATTTATTTAAAAAAACATTTTCAAAGTTTAAATTATTATGAGATTTCTGGCTCTCATGGCTGCCAGTATGAAGATCACTGTCTTTTCGGATGTTTCGCCATGTACTATGTTAAAAAATGTTCGACGTTTCGGAGAAGCATTGTGCCTCCATCACTCATCGTCCTTATTAAGAAGCCAGTAAGCTCCCCTGAAGCATAGGTAATTTCTACCAGAGTACAAGGCACAAAATCCCATAAGTCAGTCATTTTTCAAGAACGTAACTGAACACACTTGCTTGTCCGAGATACGCGCGGGAAAAGGAAATAGATAAAAGAAAACTTCTTACAATCTGGTTCTGAACACTCAAGTGGACTTTCATTATTGTCTGTGTTATGAATCGCCTTTCCATTGTACGTTGTACGCTAACGTCAGCCATGTTAGACGGTGCGTGTATTATATAGCTATTCCAAAAGTTTCAGAACGTTCCGAGCACGTTGTAATTAGCCCCACTATTTTCAACTATTTATGTTTTAATTTAATTTTTACTAATGACTATGTTAACGAAATCAAGGTACCCGATTAAAACAAACAAGGTTTACTACTCGAAACATTTCCAAGAAATTTCTGGAACAATATCACACTTTCCTGATAAATGGAATTAGAATTTTAGTCTGAAATAACCAGCACATAAACAAGACAGTTAAAATGTCTATACAGAAAACGTAGTTTTTGTTAACTGACTGTCTATCACTACGCCAGTTTTCTGTTACTACCAAAAAACTCTATTTTAAATTAAGTGTGCAGTCTCTTATCGTAACTAGAATCAATATCTCTTACGCCAGGATACATCTACACAGAATGCGGATTAACTTGGAATTACATAAAACCAGAGAATGGCTTATAAGAATAGGTAACTTCAGATTTTAAGACAACTTCAACAGTTAAACCATATTTCTGTCAAATTATTCTCTATGTATTTGATGAAAAGCAACAAATCGAATTTAAACAGAAACTACGACACAGTCAACAGTAACAGTACATAAATCTGTTAGAAGGTCTACAATATTAAAGGAAGATTTTTGTGTTGTGAGTGCAGGAGTATAGGTTTCAATGGGCACGCCTGTACATGCCATGAAGCACGTCTTATGAATGCTTTGTGCCTAGTCACCGTGCAGCAACCGCTGTTGGATGAACGCCCTAACCGTACTATAATTAACAGGCATTAAACAAACAATCGGCGCAGGCTTAACAAGATAACAAGGACTAACGCTGTTGCATCTTCGGAACCAAAAGGCGTCAATCACTAGATTCATTGTCTGCCACTTACATAACTCACCACATTTCGTTGCGAGACTCGTTGGATAGGCCTACTGAATGTTGGATTCGAGGCTGAACTTTAAAGCACAGTCATCCACTACAAGAACATTGTAATGTCATCACTCGTTCTGATAACTATCAGCGTATAAATGATTTATTGAACAATAAAAATCGGTATCTGTAAAAACGTGTCTCCTCTACAGTAAAGTTCTTCGAAAATACATAAAACAAGCAACCCTAGTGAAAAAAGCCATCTACAAACTATATGGGCCTACAGCATGTTGAATACATAAACTACATGTTTAATCACAGATGTACGTACTCAACATATTTCTAAGGAGAACGCAAAATGAAGAAGAAGAAGTTATGTTTGCGACGGGCTGATCACTCGTCCAAGCAGTCCTACCAAATATCTAAATAGATCAAGTAACCTCCCACATGGGAGGAGGCCAAGGCCCGCCAGAGCTGTAAGGCCACAGGAGAAAAAAAAATTGGTTGAAAAGTTACTACACATATTTCTATAACTTTCTGACACCGAAAACAAAAAAAAACAGAATATCGATAATATATAAACCTGTGAAATAACGCAATATTACGGCCCTAAATTTATCTTCTTTAACCTCAGACGGAAGTAGAATCCAGATTCCAAAACGTTGTAGTTTTATTTTATTACTTTGTAATTTAAATTCTGGACAAAGTCCAAAAGAACAATTCTACATGAAACTAGACGTTGTTTCCCACATT